TTGTATTATAGCTCTGCAAGATGTTAACACTGGGAGAAATTGCATACTGATGGTGAAGAGTGCAGGAGATATTTCTGTATTGGTTCTTTTTTGTTGCTTTTTGCGGTTGTTGTTGTTTTGGGGATCTTTTTTTGAGAGACAGGGTCTTGCTCTGTTGCCCAGGCTGGAATGTAGTGGGCACGATCAACCTTGAACTCCTAGGCTGAAGAGATCCTCCTGCTTCAGCGTCCTGAGTAGCTAGGAGTACAGGTGCATGCTACTATGCCCAGCTAATTAAAAAAAAAAATTTTGCCACCCTTGGTAACATGGCAAACCCACATCTCTACAAAACATACAAAACAATAGCCAGCCATGGGGTCATACACTTATAGTCCCAGCTATGCAGGAGGCTGAGGTGGGAGAATCATGTGAGCCCTGGAAGTCGAGCCCGGGAGGTCAAGCCGTAACTGTACCACTGCTCTTCAGAAAAAAAAAAAAAAAAAAATGTATTTTTTTTCTGTTCTTCTTTTTTCTCAGTTGTGGCATATACCTTTACAAATTAAAAAAAAGTGTTGTTTTTTTTTTTTTGAGACAGGGTCTCGCTCTGTTGCCCAAGCTGGTATTGAATTCCTGGGCTTGAGCAATTCCCCTGCCTTGGCTTTCCAAAGTGCTGGGATTACAGGCATCAACTACCGTATCTGGCCTCGATATTATTTCTTACATCTGCATATGAATCTACAAATATCTCAAAATAAATAAATTTTCAAAAGCAAAAAAAAGAAAAAGAAGAAAAGGACGGGAGTTTCTTTGTCTGGGAGACGGCCAGTCTGGGACTGGTGTGGCAGCTCCTGCCATCCAGTGCCAGGCTCCTCTTCGGTTGCTCTGTGGTGCCTCAAATCACTATTTGGTCCAAAATGCCATCAGTCTTTTCCCATCACAGGCAGCGTTCCAGCCTAAGGAAGAAAAAAAAAAAGAAAAGAAATGTCCCTTCCTTTAAAAGTTTCTTTGAAGTTTCATACACAACCCCTCTTTAAACCCCTCTGGCCAGAACCTCACGGTCTGGCTACACTGGCAGCCCGGGATGCTTGGAAACCTGGTCTTAATTCCACACAGTGGGACCAGCTAGATGTCCAAGGGTGCGTCATGAGAGAAGAAGGAGCTACTGGGGTCTCTGCATACCACCTGTCAGAGTACTGTGAAGGCACGGGAGAAAACGCATGTGCCAGTTGAACTGGATGTTTGTTTCCCCAGAAATCAGCCTGTTGACTTCCCAACTAGAGTTTCCAGGAGGCCACTCTTTGGTCTGCAAATCATGGCAAATAATGGAAAACCAAATTCCAAACTAAACGGGACTCCTGGTCATTGTGAGAATAGGAGGCTTGTTGTGAGGCTGAACAGCTGTCATCCCCGCTGGAGGGCAGTGGCACCATCTTGGCTCACTGCAACCTCCAACTCCCGGATTCAAGCGATGTTCCTGCCTCAGCCTCCCAAGTAGCGGGGATTACAGGCATGCGCCACCGCGTGTGGCTTATTTCTATATTTTTAGTAGAGATGGGGTTTCACTATGTCGGCCTGGCTGGTCTCAAACTCCTGACCTCACGTGATCTGTCTGCCTCAGCCTCCCAAAGTTCTTGGATTACAGGTGTGAGTCCTCATGCCTGGCCAGTTACCAGACTTTATAGGTGGGGAAGGTGAGGTCTAGAAAGGATAAATCCTGTGTCTTAATTTGAATTCCCCTGAGAACAAGGATTTCAGTGCAGGTAGTTTATCTCGGAGAGTGATCCTAGGAAGCAGGGACAGGAAGTAAAGAGAGAAAGACAGGGATTGGGAGAAGTCGATGAGGGGCATGTTATTAACATCATCACCCTAGGCAACAAGAGCTTCATTCACCTGGACCTCTGAGAAGGTACTGATACCTCCCAGAAAATGGGGGACTTGGAGCTCTAGCCCCACAGGGTTGAGGGCTGTCCCTAGAGGAATGAGCCTCTCCTCTTCCAGGCTGGCTTCCAGGCTGGGCTGGCCTGTAGAACCAGGGACTCCTACATTAAGGAAGTTCCTGAAATGACTTGTTTACAAACCTTTCTCTTCCTACCACACTGTGACTCCTTAGAGGGCTGGGAGCAGTGTCTTATCCATCCCTGTATCCCTAGCACCTGGCACAGGGCTGGCACAGAGTAGGTGCTCATTAAAGCTTGCTTGAATAGATGAGTCAAAGGCAGTTGGGTGGTTTCGATTGCCAGGAGAGTGGTCATCATTCATAGATCCTTCTCACCCACTCCCGCATCAGAATCACACGAGAGTCTGTTAAAAATTCAGATTTTCCCGGTCCACTTCCCAGAGGCTCTGCAATGAGTAGGCGCTGGAGAGGCCCAGGAACTTGGATTCTTTGTGAGCTCCTGAGATTCTGAAGCAGCTATCCTTGGACCACATCTTGATAAACTGTCACTCGGAGGAGGGAGTGACACTGGTTGAGAAGGTTCCATTTGGTGTCCCTGGAGGGACAAGGGAGGGATCAGCCCGTAAACATAGATCCTGGTTCCAACATCCATCCATCCCTCTTCACCTCATAAATGGTGTGGGAACACTTGGGCCCATGGGTGGAGAAAACCTAACCCCAGGACCTGGAATTTTGGGGCCCTCCACATTCTTCCAGGCCCAGTGTCCTCTGGTCTGGACCCTTTGGTTTCAGCTGGGTTCACGTTCCAGTCCCCGCTCCTGTTCTCACAGCACTCCCTCTCACTTTCTGTGCTCCAGCAACTGAGACAAGCTCTCCTCTGCTGGAAATGCCCTCCTCTCCCTTCTCTGCGGGTTAATGCTTCCTCACCCTTCAACTCTCAGCTTAAGCATAACTGTCTTAAGGGAGTTTTCCTCGGACCCCTAGGTGATCACAGATTCCCTCCTACAGGTGCTCATAGGACCACAGCCCCTTCCTTATCTCAGCTTTCTAAACGTACATTCCTCATTACTAAGGTTGACGGCACCCTGCTGTTTCCTACCAGACTCTCAGCTCTGCAGGGACAGGGACTGTATTTGATTTTGTTCATCATTTAGCATTGAACCTTCTGTGTGGTGGGTGTTTCCCAAATACTTGTTGGAGGAATAAATGTTGGCTAATTACTCTGTAGGGCTGAGGAGGCCATAGTGTGGGTGGCCCCAGGGCCCAGGTCTAAGAGAGGCTTCCCTAACCCAGTTTGAGAGGACAGAGAATGGGCCTCAGATGGGGTGGGATTCCCCTGACAGTCTGCTTCCTGGCTCCTATTTCCTGATTTACCAGGCTGTTCCCACCCAAGAAGAGCCAATATGTTTAATTCCCCCAGAGACAGGGAGTATCTTAGAGGAAGGACAGTGGCTTGTTCTGTCTCTAGTCCTAGCATAGTACTTGGCACATGTAGGTGCTCACTGAATGTGTGTTGAATGTATGGTCAACAAATGCCATGAGCAGACAGTAAAATGCCTGTCGATTACAGAGCAAAGCACCTTTGCAGGCCTGTTCACACTTGAACCTCGTGGCCCCCCTATGGAATAGGCAAGGCCGTCTATTCATCCCCTTCTGGCCGAAGAATAAGCAGGTAACTTGCCAGGTCCCACTTGATTTTGTTAGTTTGTTGTGTGAGACAGGGTCTCTCTCTGTACCCAGGCTGGAGTGCAGTGGTGCATCCATGACTCACTGCAACGTCTGCCTCCCAGGCTCCAGTGATCCTCTCACCTCAGCCTCTGGAGTAGCTGGGACTACAAGCATGCACTACCATACCTGGTTAATTTTTAAAATTTTGTCATAGAGACAGGGTTTCCCTATATTGCCCAGGCTGGTCTCAAACTCCTGGGCTCAAGTGATCCACCTCAGACTCCCAAAGTGCTGGCGTTACTTTACAGGTGTGAGCCACCACGCCCGGCTCAGATGCCACAGTTAATAAAAGGTGGGGAAGTTGGATGGAGCAGTAATGGAAGTGCAGGTTCTCCTTCAGCTTGATGTGCCCTCACTTGGGGATCGCCTCTTACCTGGTAGGGCTGGGAGGAGATGGGGAGTTTCTGGAAGGAACTTCTGTCCGATGGAGAAAAGTGAAAAGTAGGTTACTACTCCTGGGACTGCCTAGGCCTCTGCCCAGACCTGTTTCCACCTGTGCCCTGAGACAGATAGGCAGCCGAAGGTGAGAGGTGGGGAGTCCCTGCCCCAGACTAGAACCCGAGCTAGGTCCCGAGCTGGCTGCTTCCTCACTTGACATCCCCAGCTCAGTACTCTCAGGCTCAGTGCCCCTTGCTTGTCTGACGTCGGCCCCTTTGCCTTCATGGGTTGCTTTCGGCTGGCCAGCTTAATTCCCTGGAGACAGAAACTGCCTGCTTTGTGATCTGAGAGTGGGAACTGGAGCCCAGGTGCCATTTGGCATCTAGGGGCTTTCTTATTCATCTGCAGGTGTCCAGGATCTTGCAATACTGGGCACTGGGCACCTACAGGCCTGAGAAATAACCGGGGCCTCCCAGCTGCCTCTCTTAGGGCCTCCATCCACCCTCTGCTTAATTCCTTTCCTATTCTCTTTGGCTTTCAGGCCCAGAGGAGAAAAAAATGGCCCACCAGGGAGCCTAAAATCCTAAGGCCATGGATTCCAGCACTGGGTCCAGCCGTGGCTTCACTGGTTCCTCAGGAAGGACCCCAGTGACCTGTTTATTTTCTAGGAGGCGGGGGCTGGGGGCAAAGGCGTGGTTGCACTTTTTAAGACCTGTCTGTCTGTGCAGGCAGGCTTTCCCAGCCTTCCCTGGAGCATCTCATCTTTCCCTGGAAGGTGAAGGAGGGCCCTTTGCCCCAGCTTGTTGTAACCATGTCCCTGTCGTTCTGCCTTGGGATTAGGCTTGAGGTTGGGAAACAGGTCTGGGGGATTTTAGGCTTACAAGAAGATCTGGAGAAAACCTAGTGGTCTCTGACACATTGTCAGCAGCCTACCCCCTGGCTTGGCTGGGTGTGCCATGTCCTTGGTTCCAGGGAGGCTGATATGGGACAGTCAAACCCATAGCTCCTCTCCCCACAGTTCCAGAGAGGTGGATCACATGGTCCCCCTGCCCATCGGAGGCCTCAGCTACATTCAGGGGTGCATCAAAAACCGTCTTACCAGCAAGACTGTGGGCCAGTGCCTGGAGGCCACAGCACAGAGGGTCCCAGAACGAGAGGCCTTGGTCGTCCTCCATGAAAACGTCAGGTTGACCTTTGCCCAGCTCAAGGAGGAGGTGGGTCCTGACCTGGAAACCACAAAGTGGGCAGGTGCTAGCTCCCAAACTGCCCTGGCTGGGCAGAACCAGGAACATGGGCACCTGGCTATGGGGCAATGTGCTGGGGCTGCTGGAGAACCCAAAGGGATGGCAGGAGAAGGGGATGGGACTAAGGCACAGGGGCCCAACGAATCAGCAACTCCTGGGGCACTTGCTACCTATGCAGGCTCCAGGGCAGACCCACTGAGGCTGGGAATCTGCCATCCCTTTGTTCCCAGTGATTGTGATGATAACCCCTGGGCAAAGGGCTGAGGGTAGGAGCTGAGGACCCCTTCCTGCTTGCCCCCATCTCACCCCTTGTACCCCATCTTTTACGCCAGGTGGACAAAGCTGCTTCTGGCCTCCTGAGCATTGGCCTCTGCAAGGGTGACCGGCTGGGCATGTGGGGACCCAACTCCTATGCATGGGTGCTCATGCAGTTGGCCACTGCCCATGCGGGCATCATTCTGGTGAGGAGGGGCTTGCCTGCACAGCTGGGTGTGTGTTGTGGGGGAACATCACTCAAGGGGAGCCCCTCAGGCCCTCAGCTTCAGAACCACACCAGTGCCTGGTTGATTTCTAACCAAGTGGTGCTTTCCCCCAGATTGGTGGACATCCACCCAGAAGGCCTCCAGGGGCCAGGGAGGTATAGAGTCTATGCCTCCTGGGGGTGGAGGGCTACAGGAGGGCAGGGTCTGCCCAAAATACTGACATGCCCTCACTGCTTCCTCCAGGTGTCTGTGAACCCAGCCTACCAGGCTATGGAACTGGAGTATGTCCTCAAGAAGGTACAGCTCATTTGTCATGGAGGGCCCGGCTAGGGCCTGGCACACGGGGCTGCATAGACTCTGCTTGTCAGAGTCTGATGGTGTGAGCGAGGGCGTGCATGGGTGGGTGACAGGCAGAGTGTCCTTCCTTAGGCCATGTGTGGTTGGAAGGTGGCCCCAACTCCATGGAGGGTGGTTGGTCAGACACAAGCTTGGCGTGAGTGTGCAGTGGCACACGTGTGTCAGGGCAGGTGTGTGTGTGTCCTCGTACGTGATGCATGTGTCTCAGGACGTGGTGTGTGTGTCTTGGGGCTGGTACGTGTGCGTATTGGTCATGGGGTGTGGTGCCTGTGAGTATGCTGGAGGTGTGTGTATCAGATGCAGGTGCATCTGCATGAGAGCAGCTGATTAGGGAGGACTCCCCCAGAGCCCTAGTCTGGGGCTCCCTGTTGACTGCAGGTGGGGGACTCCCTTTCCACAGGTGGGCTGCAAGGCCCTTGTGTTCCCCAAGCAATTCAAGACCCAGCAATATTACAACATCCTGAAGCAGATCTGTCCAGAGGTGGAGAATGCCCAGCCAGGGGCCTTGAAGAGCCAGAGGTGAGTGTGTCCTGGGTTAATGGGGGTGCATCATTCAGCATCGCTGATTCCTTCACTTTCTGGCCACCCTCCCCATCCCTCAGCCCCTGCCTCTCACCCTCCTGCCCACCCCCAGGCTCCCAGATCTGACCATAGCCATCTCGGTGGATGCCCCTTTGCCGGGGACCCTGCTCCTGGACGAAGTGGTGGCGGCTGGCAGCACACAGCAGCATCTGGACCAGCTCCAGTACACCCAGCAGTTCCTGTCCTGCCATGACCCCATCAACATCCAGTTCACTTCGGTAGGGCAGAGGTCTCCAGGCCTCAAGCCCAGGCTGACACATGCCCCCTGCCCCTGTGACACTTCCCTGGAGACGGGGAGACAGCAGAGGAGGTCAGAAGAGCAGGCATTCTTTCCTGGGACTGGCCTTCACCTGTCCTCTCTGCCCTGGAAAATATCAGCACCTGGTGTCCTTGTCGCATTCCCTCCCTCGGCCCCCTGCCCGCTCCACTCCAGCCCTCTTGTTCCCGGTGCAGTGGCAGATTCAATGAACCTACACAGGTTAGAGCTGGGTAGAGGCTGCCCCTCATTTAGCTGATGGGGAATCAGAGGCCCAGAGAGGGAATTTGCCCAAGCCAGCTAGTAGGTGGCAGAGTTCTCTGGGCCATATAAGTGGCATGAGAACAGAGACCTTATCTTCTGTATTGCTGGACCCTGACACCTGGCATCACGGTAGACCTTTTGCAAATAGACTGAATGAACAGATGGATCTGGGGCAAAAATCCCTGTCTCCTGATTCCCGGTCCAGTGCCCTTCAAGGCAGTGGCCCAGGGTGGGAAGGAGATGAGAAGGAGGCCAAGCTGTCCCCCACTTGCCTTGTCAGGGGACAACAGGCAGCCCCAAGGGGGCCACCCTCTCCCATTACAACATTGTCAACAACTCCAGCTTGATAGGCGAACGCCTGAAACTGCATGAGAAGGTGAGGCGACACTAGGCCTGGGGCAAGGCTGCAGGAAGGGCGGCTCAGGCAGGGGTGGCGGGCTGGCTGGGCTCCCCTCGCCAGCTAGAGGAACTGGCTTCTGGCTCCAAGACAGACCCAGCCTCCTGTCTCCATCATCAGACGCCAGAGAATTTGCGGATGGTCCTTCCCAGCCCCCTGTACCATTGCCTGGGATCCGTGGGAGGCACAATGGTTTGTCTGATGTATGGTGCCACCCTCATCCTGTCCTCTCCCATCTTCAATGGCAAGAAGGCACTGGAGGCCATCAGCACAGAGAGGTGGGCATTGGTGGTGGTTTGTGGGCTGATAAAACCCTCTTGTTCCTCATTCCTGGGCCCTGATACCCTTCTAAGCTGCCTGCTCCCTCCAGCCAGGAGACTGGGGATGGGGACAGTAGAGGAGGTCCCTCAGGAGAGGACCAGTTCCTGCCTCAGGAGCTTCTCCTGCCTGTTCTCTTGCTGCAGGTTCATGGTGGGGTGGGTGAGAAGAGGGAGTTCCTTTCCACTTCCAAAGCCTAATTTCGAGAACTCCTCCTATACAGAGGCTGCTTCTTGTATGGTACCCCCACGATGTTCGTGGACATTCTGAACCAGCCAAACTTCTCCAGTTATGACATCTCGACCGTGTATGGAGGTGGGGTGGGGCCAAGGGCAGCCAGGTGTGGGGAGGGGGCTGCTTCCCCCACAGTAATGGCCTGGGTGACTTAGATATGCTCCCAGCCTTTTATTTAGGGGGCAGGAAGGACACTATAAAATATGGGTGGGAGGGAGGGAGATCCCCAGTGTCCCTGGACATCAGCCCATGGCCAACTTGCCAGGTGTGGGAAACGCTCAGGGTCAGGGGAGAAGAGGGAATGTTCCTCCCTTGAGTGAGCTGTAAGCAAGAGGACTCCACAGGGCTTGGAGAAGTGGGGAGCTGGGTCAGCCCTCTCTCTGATTCAGGTGTGATCGCTGGGTCCCCTGCACCTCCAGAACTCATCCGAGCCATCATAGACAAGATAAATATGAAGGAGCTGGTGGTGAGTGGTGACCGGGGCCCAGGCTGGGGGCAGGCCAGGCCTGGGGTGACAACAGATTGGCAGACATGGGGATGAGCCCAGACCAGATGTTCCAAGGAGACCCTGTCAGCAAGCCCTCCTTCCAGAAAGCAGATGTGAGAAAAGACAGTCTGACCTCATTAGCACCTGGCAGATGAAGGAGTAAGGTGGCAGGGGAGTAAATATCATACATACATACATTTATATTTATAGAAATCTGAGGAAGAAATTGCAGCATGGGCGGATGGGCAGCAAAGCACCAATGTCCTGCTAGAGTGTCCTGGCAGGTGGGGGCTGGCGGAGTTGGGGCATGGGCTTAAAACCCTTTCTGGAAGCAAGGGGTAGGGCAAGGGTCTGATTATTGTTCCATGTGGCTGGGAAAGAGGAACAGAGGAAGGATGATTCTGGAAGGGTAGCCATCCTGATGACCAACCCATTCTGGTTCTTATTGACTTGGGGGCTCTCAGCAACAGCTTCTCTGAGAGGAGCTGGAGGGTGGGGAAGGCATGAAGTTGAGGAGGGGCTCAGCCTTCCTCCTCCCCAGGACACAGCTGAGTGGAGCTGGGTTGGTAGTGGAGTGCCTGAGGCCCCCTGCCAGGACGTGTCTAGGTGTGGGCAGCTCTGTGCATCAGCAGAGGCTGTGCGGAGAAGGTAGGAGTGGAGGTGGGTGGTCAGTAGTCTCTCCGGTGGAAGGCAGAGGCCAGTCACCAGGACTGGCTGGGTCAGGACCTGCAAGGAGGTAAGGATTGACTCATCACTCCATCCAACAACCCAGATGATGCTTGGAGGAAATGGTGGGGGTCCTGGGCAGGACCTTTTCCTCCCTTCAAAAGGGGTCCCAGTCCTCTCCTCCTCTCTCTCTAAAAATGGAGGGTCTGCCTGCTCCTCCAGGGGGAGGGAGTATCCTGGAAGATACCAGCTCACTTGCTGGAATTGCCAAAGAGGAACGTGGGGGACCTGTTTACCCAGCCCCACCTGTTTAATGGCGGCCAGCTTTCTTGGACCTCTTAGTGGGGAACTTGCAGTTGCGGAAGGCGTCCGTGTCACGGATGTGCTGACCCTTGAACTTGGCAGGAGAGGCACAGGTGGCATCTGGGCGGGAGGCCTTGGCTTCCAGCCACCTGGAGAGACAGAAACTTGCTGGGGCTGGGGGAGATGGTGGGAGTGCTGGGGGGAAGGGCAGTGAGCTATGGGGCCAGGACTGACTTGGCTGCAGGATAGTCTGAAGCTGTCATCTTCATTTTACAAATGGGGAAACTGAGGCTCCCAGGGTCCCATGCCTATTAGGTAGCAGACCTAGGATGCATGTCCCACATGCCTTAGCGCAGGGCTAAGTGCTTAGTGGTGGGCTCTGGGAGTGTCATGGGGGTGTTCTCACCGCCGAAGACCCCGGAGCTGGCAGGTACACTTCCAGGGGTTGCTGGTGAGCGTGAGGGTCTCCAGGCTGTCGAAGGGGAAGTTGGAGGGCAGCTGGTTCAGGCGGTTGTTCTCCAAATGGACGTGTTTCAGCGTGGTCACACCCAGGAAGGCACCATCCGAGAACTGGGGAGCAAGATGGTTGAGTGAGCACCCCAGTGCCAGAGGGGCAGTGTCCTTCCCTGGAATGAGCCACAGCACCTTGAGGAGTTGCCCAGTTTTCAAAACAGTGTGACCAAGTGGTCTCAGATGATCCAATCTACACAACCCCCTTTGAGACACGTGGTGTTATTTCTAATATGCAAATCGAGAAATGGAAAAAGTGCTGTCCTTTGCCCAGGGTCACAGCAGTGGGTAAACAGTAGCCACAGGACCACACCCAGCTCCTCTCCCACTGGCACCACAATCCCTGCACAAACACTGGGACTGTGCAGCAGCCCAAACTGGTACACGGTGAACTCAATCTGTGCTTAGTGGAATGGGCAGTGGGCCCAGGCTTCCCACAGCCCCAGAGTCCCGGGACATCCCCCAGCGCTGTCCTCACTGTGCCCCCACTTCCAGCCAGACACTATTTGTGAAGCCACCTTGGTAGAGCCTTTGGCAAGGTTGGACGGCTCCAGAGGAAATGTTCTATTGGTGCCCACATCTTTGCCCTGGCGCCACAATTCCTGTCTGGCCCAAACCAGCCCCTGATTTGCTGCTCTGCTGACCACTGAAAGACCACTCTGGCACTGGTGGGCCACAGGGGACTCCAACTTCAGCTGGAGAGAGGCAGGGCTGGAGAAGGGCAGGCTTGAGCAGGCTCCATCCACCTAGACAAAGGTTGGCTGCTGCCCAGGTAGGACTCTGCCTGCATCTCCATGCCCCTGTCCTCCTCTCCTGTGGTCCACATTGAGGTATGAAAGTCTCCAGTAACCAGCCTGTCCTCTGCCTTATTGGTCCCCCCGCAAACCTCCTGGCTGAAGCCCCTGTAACCAGGGTGACTTTTCCAGTCTCAGAGAAGGGATTCTGCTCTGGTTCCAGGTAGCCCCACCTGGCCAGACCCTGGGCACCCCAGGGGAGAAAGGAACCAGTGAGGATACAGACGGGAGATGGATCTGGTGACAGGGGAGGGCAACGGGCAGTCAGCAGTCTGGAGACAGTGAGGCACGCCAGCCCTCCCTGTGGGGAGACACCTGGGGTCTTGTGCCAATGGTTGACAATGGTGGTCTTGCTTTCCGCCTTCATGGACCCCATGGGCACCATGCTTGCAGCCTGGAGGAGCCCTTGGTCCCATGCCTGCTCAATTGAAGTGGACCTGAGAAGGCAGTGGATTGTGTGGATGTGGACTGGGCAGGGCCATCCACCCAGGCCTCTGTGGGGCATGGAGAATGTCTTCCTCAAGCATTTGCTTCCCCTCACTCCCCAGCCCCACACTCCACCTTAGCACACATGCACAGCCCCCACCAGGAACAGGGTCTCTTTGTGGGCCTGATCTGCCCAGCTCCTCTGGAAGGCTCCTCAATAAACAAACCTTCCTTTATGGGATGGTAGGTTTACTGGAGACAGGAAACACAGCAGAGGAGGGGTGGAGGTGGCTGCTGCTCAAGGTGGGGAGTTTGGGAGCACTGGTGATGGCCCTGGGGGGTATTTGTGGGGCCAGGGCAGCCCCACTCCTTTCATATGTAGGAATCCTAGGAGGGTGGTGGTGAGACTGACAGCAGGACAGGGATTAGGATAAGGATGTGACAAGGTGATGAAGTGAGGTGGCAGAGCTGCTTGCCTTGGAGATAGCCAGAGGGACAGGGAACCTGGGGACAAGGGATGGTGCCAGCTGTGGCCCTGGCTCCTGGGGCCTCCAGGAAAGGAAGAAGGAACCAGGGCAGAGCCCTGCAGCCAGAAGCTCACCTTCTCCAGGTTGGTGTTATCCAGCCAGAGGGTCTCCAGGTATCTGCCGAAGGACTGGAAGGCATTGTCAGGGATGCTTTTCAGTGGGTTGTGGGACAGCTTCAGTTCCTCCACGACCCGTAGCTTGCTCAGGGCAGCGGACGGGTAGCTGGACAGTTGATTCCTGTCCACGTGGAATTTGGCGAGGTTCTCCACATCGTCCAGGGCCCCAGGCTGCAGGGAGCTAAGCGCGTTTTCAGACAGGTAGAGCCAGCGCAGGTCCTTGGCGCCCTGGAAGGCGCCTGCGCGCAGCTCTCGGATCTTGTTGTTGTTGAGCTGCAAGATGAAGAGGTTGACCAGCGGGGAGAGCAGCCCCCGGGGCAGCTCGGTGACCTTGTTGTGGTCCAGGTAGAGGTAGGTCAGCTCGGTCAGGTCGTCGAAGGCGCCCGCGCGCAGCACGCGGATGTCGTTATGGGACAGGTACAGGTAGATGAGCTGCTTGAGGCCGCGGAAGGCACCGGCGGCCACCTCGCGGATCTGGCAATGCTGCAGGTGCAGCGACACGAGGTTCGGCATGGCCCTAAACGAATTGGCAGCCAGCACCGGGAAGTTGTTGCGCTGTAGGTTGAGCAGCTTGGTCTTTTCTGACACCTTAGGGATTTTCTGCAGCCCCACCTTGTCGCAGATGACGTGCTGCAGGTCGCCGTGGCAGTGGCAGTTCTGGGGGCAGGCGGCCAGCGCCGGCAGCAGACCGGCCAGAAGGCCGAGGCTGAGCAAGAGCGTTGGGCGGACCATGGCCGGGGCGCCTGGGGCCGGGGCTGGGGGCAGCAGCAGCGGCAGGGCGCGGGCAGCGGCGAGTCCTGGGCACTCGGGTCTGCCGCCCTCTTTATACGGTGGCCCTGACCGCAGCCGGCAGCCGAGCCAGCTCCTACGTGGAGCATCGAGGCCACTGGGCTTAACTCCCTCGCGCCCAGAGATGCGCCCCCGCCCTCCACGGGGAGGGGGGCGGGGCGGGGCCCGTCCCCCAGCCGGCGACCGTTCCTCCGGGACTGGGACGGTGTCCCCCGAACCCTGGCTCCAGTCCCCTACTCTCCTATGCTGCTCCTCTCCCTACCGCCTTTCCGGGGCTTTTCTGGGAAGGGGGAATGGGTCTGATTGTAGCCCCGAGTTTACATCGGAGAGAGGGAGGCGTTCCCTGAACATATTTGTTTGCTCAAGTTTGAGCCTCCACGCCACGCCATCCACACGCGCTCGGCCGGGTGCCCTGGACGCCAGGCGGGAGGAAGCGGAGCCGGACAGCCGGACGCGTCTCCCCGCGGTGGGCCAGCTGGCGGCGTTTTAATGGGGCGCTTGTGCGGCGCCGGCCAAGCGTGAGAGCCGCCCCAGCGTCGGGCTCCCCCTTCGGGCTGGACGCGCCAAAGCTGGCCCTGGGGAGACGCTGCGAACTCCTTCTACACCCTCGGGTGCGCCCCGGCCCCTCTCTCCCAACCCCGTTTGCGTTTCTGTCCTCTGCGCCACCCATCCCCCTTTTCCACTGCTGAAGGCTAAGCAGAAAAGTGGGAAGTGGAGGAGGGTGGCCCACGGGAATGACAAACACACCTGGAGACCACAGGCCCCAAGCACAGTCGTGCCATCCCCCTCCTTCATCGCCTCGAAATATCCCCATCCCTCATCCCCAACCCCAGTGGTCAGAACCCCACCCTGAGGGGTCTCAGGGTGGCGGCTGAGTGGCGCCGAGGTGTACTTGGCAGAGGCCACATTCGGGCAGTGGCCTCAGGACTGCAAGGACGGTTTCGTGGGGAGGAAGGGGGAGGCAGGTCGAGGGACCAGCCCTGGATAGCTCAGGCTGCCAGACCCTAAGTTCTGTGGGCAGTCTCACCCCAGCCCGCCAGATTTCTCTGTGCCCACTTGCCAGCCACGATGTCCGGATTCCTGTGGAAAGGGGAGGGTGAGCAGGCAGGGTCACAGCTCTGGCCCCAGGGTGAGCTCCAGGCTGCCTGGCACAGGGTATTGTCTGCAATGAGGGGCGGAGGGAGAAACCAGACCCCACATTGAACCAAACCCCAGCTGTGCCAGAGCCAGACCAGCTGATATGGGGGAAGCTTGGTGCGGGGAGGAGGATGCTGAGATCTGGTGACCATAGATTGAAGGGGACCTAAGATATGGGGTAGCTGGCCTCTCTCCCCTTACCCCATACCCTTGTGTTGGGGCCTGGTTTCCAAGGCCTGCCGTTTTCCCAAACCTCTCTGCCCCTTACCTCTAGGATAGGCGGGTCATACTTGGCCTAGAACATTCTTTGGTGGTACTTAGGCTTCTCCAAGGCTGGCTTCCAGTTTTCCTGTCACTCAGGGTTTCCAACCACTGGAAATGGGGAGCAGGGGGAGGATGCCACTGGCTTTTAAAATCACTGCTTCGGTTGTTTTTTATTTTGACAGAAATGAATTCATGGGAAACTCTCCAGAGCCTGGGAGACGCCTGCCCCAGGGCCAGGCACTTGTTCAGGGTTTTCGGGATGCAGGGGTGAGGTTGTGTCTGTGCCACTCCTAGCTGGGCCAAGGCAGGCTGGCTTTCTCATCAAGCTTTTGGGGCCTTCGGCTTGAAGGGGAGGGGCAGAGGATGTGGTCTGAAATCAGGAAGGTGGGGTTAAGGCAGCCAGAGGATGGGGAGAGAAGTGTGGGGTCTTGGTAATACTGGAGCCACAGGCACAGACAGGTGGCTGCTCCAGGGAAATGGGGCACTGAGTGACCCCCAGCTGGAAGAGAATGGTATGTCCCTGCACTCAGTTTTCTTTCAAATCTGGGGCCCTGCAGAGACCTAGGCTGCTCACTCCCAGTGCCTCCTGACCCCAGACCCCTACCAACGACATCTCTGTTTCCACCATTTGGCTGCCCTCCACTTCCCCTTTTCCTTTATGAATTCCTCCTCATTTCCCCAGGTAGCTCACCCAATCCCTCTGCAGGCTCTGAGCCCTCTCCAAACACCCTTTCTGCACCCTCTAGAGTGCTTATGGAACCACAGAGAACAGTCCCGTGACATTCATGAGCTTCCCCGAGGACACTGTGGAGCAGAAGGCAGAAAGCGTGGGCAGAGTTATGCCTCACACAGAGGTGAGCCCCTCACCAAGACCCCCAAGCCCCACCTCCCAACACCCACCTGGGGTGCACCCAGCTGGGACATCTGTTCCTTTCAGTGAGAGAGCCAAATGGCTCACTTAGGATGCTGAGAGCCCCCAGCCGCAGGGGCTTGCTAGGCCTGGCCCAGAGCACTCTCTGTGGGCTAAGCATGAAAGGGGAAGAGCTGGAACAGTGGCCATGAGTGGCTGCCAGCTGAACCTCCCCACAGCCTCCCTTCCTGTCTGAGGTGTGTTTTTGCCAAGCCCACTGTCTGTTTCAGGGCAGCCAGGGTAGCCTCAAAGAGGAGCCAGAGCACAGAGATTTTTCCTACACAGCTTCTTTTCCTCCAGTGGTCCCCGCCTCTCACTTTAGCAGAGTTCCTCTTCTTGCTTGGCGTAAACACTCCATTTCTCAAGCAGCCTATCCTCTGGGGGTCCCTTTGCCCCTCAAAGACTGCCCAGAGTGCATCTCAATCTCAAACACCCAGCCATGCCTCCTCTCCTGCTCCAGCACTGGGCCTTGCCAGCCAGCTCCTGATTTCCCTTGTGCTTCTGCTCCCCACCCTGGGGGATCGCTGCCCCTGTGTGCAAGCAGCTGCTTCCCCTGGGCCTGGCCACTGTCCTGGTGTGAATCTGCCCTGCCCTCCCGCCAGAGCAGTCCTGCACACAGGGAGTGAGTGCAGATGTGAGCCCCCTCCCATGTGTCCTACAGCTGCACTGCCACTCTCACTAGGATGCCCACCTGGAAGGGAAATGGGCAGGCATCATTCGCCCCATTTCACAGATGCAGACACTGAGGCACACAGGCTCAGCTTTCCTTGGCACAGCAGCCATGGCTCTTTTCTCTACCAGGCTTTCAGACTCTGCCTCTTCTATTCACATGGTGTTGCCAACGACACCCTCTTTGGCTTATTTGCTGCTTAATGGGGAATAAGAGGAGACTCCCTTCTCCTCTGCACCGTTTGTCATTCTTCAGCTGGCCTGGCTGTCCACGGACCTCTTTTTCTGCAGCAGCTGCCTGCCCGCTGTTTCCTCAGCACTCCCAGCCTGGGCCTCAGCTGTTCTTTCATGCCCAGCTCAGGTCTCTGACTGGCATTGGGTTGACTCTAGCCTTTGTCTCCCTTCTCTGGATGGGGATAGGCAGAACCAGAGGGTCTCATTCCTGGGGGGGGAGGGTTGAGGGGAGGCAGAGCCCTCTCCATTTCCAAGGACCACCTACCCTGAAACAAGAGGGTAGGAAGCCCCAACATGAGGCTGTCCTGTCCCAGGCCCGGATCATGAACATGGAGGCGGGGACGCTGGCAGAGCTGAACACGCCGGGGGAGCTGTTCATCCGAGGGTACTGCGTCATGCTGGGCTACTGGGGCGAGCCTCAGAAGACGGAGGAAGTAGTGGGTCAGGACAAGTGGTATCGGACAGGGTGAGAAGGCAGGGTGGGGTGGAGGCTCTGGCTGCCAAGGGGAGGCTGGAGGTCTTGAGGCTGAGCCGGGAACATTAACCTGGCACAGGGAGGATGCGGGTATCAAGAATGACTCCTCACATGCTGGAGACTTAATTTCCAAAACGTACACGATAGGGATGATCATACATAGCATGGAAGAAAGCGACTGGGTCATCGCCCTATTCCAGCAGCTGCAAAATCTGAGTCCAGATTCAGTCACTCATTGGTTACCCCAGCAAATTCTTGTTAAGATTCCCTATATGCTAGCACTGTTCTCGCCGCTGGAGGTCCAGAGGAAAGTAAGGTGAGAAGGATCCTGGTTTTTGGAGGAAAAGAGATGATTTCTGACATCGATAAACACCAAGTAAATAGGCCGGGTGCAGTGGCTCACACCTGTTATTCCAGCCCTTTGGGAGGCCGAGGCCGGTGGATCACCTGAGGTCAGAAGATCGAGACCAGCATGGCCAACACGGCAAAACCCTATCTCTACTAAAAATACAAAAATTAGCTGGGCGTGGTGGCTGACACCTGTAGTCCCAGCTACTTGGGAGGCTGAGGCAGGAGAATCGCTTGAACCTGGGAGGTGGAGGTTGCAGTGAGCTGAGATTGCACCACTGCACTCCAGCCTGGGTGACAGAGCAAGACTCCATCTCAAAAACAAACAAGCAAACAAAAAAACACCAAGAAAATAAAATAGGGTTATAGGAGAGAAAGTGGCTGTGGTGGGGAGGGGAGCTTCCCTTAGAATGTGTGGACAAAGACGTCTGGAAACGTTTGGGCTGAGACCCAGAAAGGAGCCAGCTGTGAAAAGCATATGTACGGATACATTGAGAGAGAGAATATGTTATAGGTATTGGCTGGTTTTTTTCTGCCTTCCCTCCCTTTACTAGACTATTATCCAGAGGTTGTGTCTTGTTTCTGCTATGTCTCCCAGAGTCTAGAGCAGTAGAAGTCACTTTCACGAGTGAGCGAGCCTGTGAGTGAACAAGGCAGAGGTGACAGGTCACCCCTGGGCTTTCTTTACAGAGATATAGCCATGATGGATGAACAGGGCTTCTGCAAGATCGTGGGCCGCTCTAAGGATATGATAATCCGGGGCGGCGAGAACATCTACCCTGTGGAGCTCGAGGACTTCTTCCACACACACCCGAAGGTGCAGGAAGTGCAGGTGAGGTACCTGGCCCAGGGGAGTCCCCAGAAACAGGGAACACACATGAACACGATGATGTCTGATATTTTTCCCTGGCCCTGGAAGGTGGTGGGAGTGAAGGATTATCGGATGGGAGAAGAGATTTGTGCCTGCATTCGGCTGAAGAACGGGGAGAAGACCACGCCAGAGGAGATCAAAGCTTTCTGCAAAGGGAAGGTGGGAGCCTCCTCCCAACCAAGCTGATGCTGCTGGGTTCTTTGCCCATCCCCTCCTCTACCAACCAGCCCAGGGCGGGGGCTGCTCCTCCCTTAACGAAGCTGACTCCCAGCCAGGCGAGCCCCTGGTCCCCTTCCCGCAGCCCTGTGAGCTTGCCCAGCCTCATGCCCGCCCTCCCTGCCTCTGGTCCACAGATCTCTCACTTCAAGATTCCGCGCTACATCGTGTTTGTCACAGACTACCCCCTCACCGTTTCAGGAAAGGTGCGTAAGGTGGAGGAGACTGGGAAGGGCAGCCTGGGCTCTGGGGGCCGACGGGCCCCACCTCCGTTTCCTTCAGCAGTGGATATGGAGAGGCTGGCAGTAGGGTGACCAAGTCACCTAATTCTGGTTTGCCTCAGGACTTGTCCTGTTTTGGTACTAAGACTGGAGAAGCCCCTCAGTCTTGGGCAACCCAAGATAGCTGGTCACCTTAACTCCTTTTCCTTTCTTCTAGGTCCAGAAATTCAAACTTCGAGAGCAGATGGAGCGACATCTAAATCTGTGAAGAAAGAGGGAGGCAGGATCCACCCAGGCCCTCCTCCTGTCCATCCCCCACACTCCCCTTGTCTGTCCTTGTGATTTGACATAAAGAGCTTCTGTTTTCTTTGGCCTCCTGCTGGTGGGCTCTCTTGGCAGCTACTATGGGATGGAGAAGAGAAGACACTGAAGGGAAACCAGCACTTTCAGACCTCCTATTCCTTGTCATCGAGAGTGCAGAGCACCTTGATGTGGTTTATCTACTTAATTTAACATTTAACCCTGACCTTTGGTATTCCTTTGAGATACCAATCCTTTTTTTTTTAATTTGAGACGGAGTCTTGCTCTGTCACCCAGGCTGGAGTGTAGTAGTGTGATCTCAGCTCGCTGCAACCTCTGCCTCCCAGATTCAAGTGATTCTCCGGCCACAGCCTCCCAAGTAGCTAGGATTACAGGTACCCACCACCACCAACTAATTTTTGTATTTTTAGTAGAGGTGAGGTTTCACCATGTTGGCCAGGCTGGTTTCAAACTCCTGACCTCAAGCGATCCACCTGCTTCAGCCTCCCAAAGTGCTGGGATTACAGGCATGAGCCACTTCATCTGGGCCTCAATTTTTTATTTTTAAGCTACTCTAATTTAATTGTTCTTCACATTGTTGCCAGATTAACAAGAAGTATTCTTGTTTTTGTTTTTGTTTTTTTTGAGACGGAGTTTCACTCTTGTTACCCAGGCTGGAGTGCAATGGCGTGATCTGAGCTCACCGCAACCTCCACTTCCTGGGTTCAAGCAATTCTCCTGCCTCAGCCTCCCAAGTAGCTGGGACTACAGGCATGCACCACAGTGCCCAGCTAATTTTTTGTATTTTTAGTACAGACGGGGTTTCACCATGTTGACCAGGATGGTCTTGATCTCTTGACCTTGTGATCCACCCGCCTTGGCCTCCCAAAGTGCTGGGATTACAGGCATGAGCCACCGCACCCGGCCTATTCTTGTTTTATGTAACAGCTTGATTGAGATATACTCACATACTATCCAATTCATACCCCCACCCCCGTTTTTTAGAGACAAGATTTCATTCTGTCTCCTGTGCTGGAGAGCAGTGACATGATCATAGCTAATGCAGCCTCGAACTCCTGGGCTCAAGCAATCCTCCCACCTCAGCCCCCTGAGTAGCTGGGACTGTAGGAATGTGCCACTGTGTCCAACTAATTTTTAAACATTTTTTTCATAAGAGACAGGATCTTGCTATGTTGCCCAGACTGGTCCAGAACTCCTGGGCTCAAGCAATCCTCCTGCCTCAGTCTCTCAAAGTGCTGGGACAATCCACCATTTAAAGTGTAGAATTCAGTGGTCTTTACTACATTCACAAATAAATATGTGTAACTACTACCACAGTCAATTTTAAATATTGTCATCACCTATGAAAGAAACCCCATACCCTTTTACTACTATCTCCTGGCCCCCAGTAAATAAAAACAGCTGACTTCCAAAAGGCGCATAGGTTCCCAGTTCACAGGAATAGAAACTTTGGCCTACCTGCACCTTTACCTCCCAGTGTACCTGCCCGCAGCAGAAACCTCCTCTTCACTTTTTAAGATACGAACATAGGTTTAGGGCACTTTCAGTACCAGGCTCTACGCTAGGTACTTTCACATAATTTTCTCTCCAAATCTTCCCAACAATCCTATCAAGTAGCCATTGGTTCCACTTCACGAATGACGCAACAGAAACTCTGGGAGGTTCAGTATCTTGCTCAAGATCACATAGCTGAATCAGAACCCAGTTGTCTGTCTAAGCAGGTTCACTGCGCACTGGTTACCATCTTTTCTGAGTCCAGTGAAGCAAACACCCACAAGTTCCAGCGAGGCAAACACAAGTGACGTGGAGCGTGTTTATTACCTACAGGTAGGCAGTCAGGGACAAAAGAAGGCTGGGATTCATTTGGAGCTGGACCCCCAAGGCTCAGGAATGCTGCTGAGGCAGATGGAGGATGGACTCTCATCTGTGCGTGCCCGACTTGTTTTTTGTTGTTGTTTTGAGATGAAATCTCGCTCTGCTGCCCAGGCTTGAATGCAGTGGTGTGAACCCTGGGGTTCAAGCAATTTTGTTGCCTCAGCCTCCCTAGTAGCTGGGATTACAGGCATGCACTACTAAGTTCAGTTAATTTTGTGTGTGTGTGTATTTTTATTAGAGACAAGGTTTTGCCATGTTGGCCAGGCTGGTCTCAAACTTCTGATCTCAGGCAGTCCACCTGCCTCAGCCTCCAAAAATGCTGGGATAACAGGCATGAGCCACTGCACTTGGCCAGCCCGACTTGCACTGAAGCTGAGGGACCCCTGAAACCAGCCGCCCTGGGTTTTATACCCTGGGGCCATGTGACATGTTGGGCTGAAGTGCTGGAGGACATCCTTTTTCTAGGGGGACTTTTTCTAGCCTGGCTGTGCCGGCCAGTCCCTCCTTCCCTCAGGATGTTGCATTTTCTGCACACTCCAGAGTTACTCTTTTTTTTCTGAGATGGAGTCTCGCTGTTGCCCAGGCTGGAGTGCAGTGGCACAATCTCTGCTGACTGCAACCTCCACCTCCAAGTTCAAATGATTCTCCCTGCTCAGCCTCCCATGTAGCTGGGATTATAGGTGTCCACCACCACACCTGGCTAATTTTTTAATTTTTAGTAGAGACAGGATTTCACCATGTTGCCCAGGGTGGTCTAGAACTTCTGATCTCAAGTGATCTGCCTGCCTCAGCCTCCCAAAGTGCTGGGATTACAGGCATCTACAGTTATTCTTGAGAATTATGAACAAAAAAGAAGGGGAGAACTAGGTCAGTTCAAGGCCACTGGGAGAACTGTCCTGTACTACCTGACTCTGAAGCCCATGATGTTTCTGCTTTGTGGGACAGTTCTTCAGATGCCTGCTTCCCTGGCGCTCTGTCTCCTGCACACACCATCTGACTGTCCTCCCAGCATGTACACCTCCCGATGCTTGGGTTGGCCTGACCCACAGCAGTCTACTCTCCCGCCCCTGGGAATTTCGGCTCCTCCAAGATCTAGCGCATTGCCCTGGTGGTGGCTCATGCCTGTAATCCTAGCTACTCTGGATCCTGAGGCAGGAGGATCGCTTGAGGTCAGGAGTTCAAGATCTCCCTCCCCTCCCCCAAATATTTTTAAATGAAATTAAAAGAAAGATCCAGCCCAAGTGCCTCTTCTCCCCCACTGACTCCCACACTCTTGTAACAGATGACCTCACAACAGCACTAAGCGAACGGCTCTGGTGTCCAGCAGGCACGGTATTAATACGCCTTTCCTCTCTCCTGTCAGACTGCAACCTGGCTTTATGCACCTGGATGTCCTCAGTACGTAGTTCTGAGGCAGGCACATAAAATGTCAAGGAATTGACTGAACGAACTAAGAGCTCCTGGATGGGTCCGGGAACTCGCCCGGGCACAGGGTGCCAAAAGGCAGTCAAGCCCCTCCCGCGGCCTGGGGAAGAACCGACAGGGGGCCGCGGTGAGCGCCCGGGCGCCCGGCAGGTGGCGCCGCAGACCCGGGCCGGGCCCTCTTGGAGCACTGTCACGCAGCCCCTCTTCCTTCCGCCGCGGCGGCACCAGAGTCCGGCCCCGCGCTCACCGCGGGCCCTGCGCTCGTCTCCTGCTCGGGTCCCTGCCCGGCGCCGCGCTGGGCTCCATGGCGCTCCCCGGAACCCGGTCCCGGGGCTGGGCGGCAGCAGCCAGAGCGGCCCAGAGGCGCCGCCGCATGGAGGGAGCGGGAGGGTACCGGAGTCCTGAGCCTGCGGGCCGGCGCGCGGCGCTTTACATACACGTGAGTGGGGGGCGGGGCGGAGCCCGCGGTGTGTGGCCACAGCCTTGGCCGTGACTGTGGCGCCGCTTTACGTACACGTGAGTGGGGGCGGGGGGCGGGGCGGAGCCCGCGGTGTGTGGCCGTAGCCGTGACCAAGGCGTCCAAAACCCAGTTGGCGGCTTGTCACTGTATGAACCTGCCTGCCTTGTTTCCTTGCCCCCGTATGAGGTCTGGGATGGGACCCAGTGCCCTGGCAGGGAAGAGCCTTGGTCCAGAAACCTGAAGCCTCTGCTACTCACCAGCTCGGTGACTGACCAAGTGGTTCACATTTCCTAACAGTTTTCCTCTTAGCAAGACAAACTTTTTGTACAGAGCAATGGTCTGATTCGGTAGCTGGGAAAATGACTCATAGAAAAATTGTATGAAAATTCTATGATCCCAGAAAGAGCTTGGGTTGAGTTTCTTCCTGACGTCTGCTAGTTGGAAGAGGCAGCGTAACAAAGGAGTGAGCCTCAGTTTTCTCACATTGAAGTGCTTGTAAATAACCCCAGTGCGACCTGTCTTGAGCAATTGTGTGGCTTAGATGTCCTGGCTCCTGTGGAAGGACCTTGGAATGGGGGTGTGCGACTGAACCCTGGAAGCGGCCAGGGCAGCTCAGAGTCTCCTCTCACCTCTCACGTGCACTCACTGCCCGCAGTGGCCGTACTGCGAGAAGCGCTGCAGTTACTGCAACTTCAACAAGTACATCCCTCGAGGCATGGAGGAGGCGGCCATGCAGAAGTGTCTGGTGACCGAAGCGCAGACACTGCTGCGGCTCAGCGGGGTGCAACGGTGGGTTGTGGGGGCTGTAGGCGGCGTTTTGGGAATTATTTGGAGGAGTGGTGGGGGATAGGTGCAGGCATCCTAGAGGGCTCCCCCAGGTTTCATTTCTCCATCCTCTTTCCCCAGGGTGGAGTCTGTGTTCTTTGGTGGGGGGACCCCCAGTCTAGCCAGTCCCCACACAGTGGCTGCTGTCCTGGAGGCTGTGGCACAGACAGCCCACCTGCCTGCAGACTCGGAAGTCACATTGGAGGCTAATCCCACTTCAGCTCCAGTCTCCAGGCTGGCGGAGTTCGGGGCAGCAGGGGTCAACAGGTTGTCCATAGGCCTCCAGGTAACCCAGGGCACCCATCCCATCCCAGTGCACCTCACCCTTCAGTGCTCTCTCCCCTTTGGTCACATTTGTTCATTCAGCATTGATTGAGCTCCTTCTGGATGCCAAGGACACTGTAGGGCCTGGTGTGACACTTTTGTAACTCCTCGTCTGCTGCTGTCACAGACGACAAACTTGATGAGAAAGGGATCAGATGTGGCTTTTTCTATTTCAAGCACCCACCATAGTGCCTGGCACGTAGTAGGTGCTCAAAAAGGATTTGCCACATGACTGGAGACTCTGGGGAGGCAGATTGTAGTCAGATCACTGCAGCATGGTGAAGGCTGCCTGTAAAGGGGGTCTCTGTAAAAGGCTTTCAGAGTACAGCCTGAAGGGAGCTCAGTCTGATGAAATCACTGAAACTTCCTGGAGGAGATAGTGTTTGAATGAAGAGGAAGAGTTCCCTAGGTGGGGGCATGTGGGAGGAAATGACACAGGACATGGAAGAGCCTGGCATGTTTTAGGGGAGCTGTGAGTCGTTCCTTGTGACTGGAGAGGCTGGAGACAAGGCTTCAAGGTAGAGTCCAAAACCTTTGGTGCCTACTAAGAAGTTTGGGGTTTTTCCTAGTAGTGATAGAGAGCCATTGAAGGTTTTTAAGTAGGAAGAAACCTATTCCTCTCAGGTTGACCTCTGATATTTCCATAGGACTTCCGGGTTGTGGGCTTTGTTCTGATGGGATATACTGACAGAAACACATCATTTCTAAGATATATTTACCCCAAAATGCATATCTTGAATCTGATTGTGAGGAAACATCAGGTAATCCTAAATTAAGAGACGTTTAAAAAATTATTGTGGTAAGAACAGATAGCATGAGATCTACCCACTTAACAGACTTTTTAATGTAGAGCAGGGTTAACTTTAAGCAGTGTTGTTCAGCCGATCTCTAGAAATTCTTCATTTTAAAAAACAACTGGCTTGTATTCTTAAAAAATGTCAATGTCATGAGAGACAAAGAACGGCTGAGAATCTAAAGGAGATGAGACTGCTGACTGCAAAATGTGGGCCCTGACTGGGGAGGAAGGGGGAAATTACTACATTAGATGTTATTGGGACAATTAGCCAAATTTGAATATGACTATGGATTACATAATGGTATTGTGTCAATGTTGCATTTCCTGAACTCTGTAATTGGATTGTGGTTATGTAAGAGAGTGTCCTTGTTCTTAGGAAATACACATTTAAGTATTTAGAGGTTAGGGAGTATAACATCTATAACTGCTATTCAATATAGTGGCCACTACCCACAGACTAGTGAACATTTGCAATGTGGTAAATTAAATTTAATTCAGTTAAATTTAAATAACCACATGTGGGAACTACCTATCATATTGGACAGTACAGCTATAGAGCATTTCCACCATTGCAGAAAGTTCTTTTGGACAGTGCTGGTTTATACCTTACTGCTAAATGACTCAGCATAATAACATGTATGTTTAAAGAGACACAAATCTGGACAAATGTTGGTGAATCTAGATGAAGGTGTTTTTTGTGATTTTCTTTCAAGTTTTCTGTAGGTTAGAATTATTTAAAAATGAAAAATAGTCCAAGCGTGGTAGCTCATGTCTGTAATCCCAGCACTTTGGAAGGTCAAGGTGGATGGATCACCTGAAGTCTGGCGTTTGAGACCAGCCTGGCCAACATAGTGAAACCCCATCTCTGCTAAAAATACAAAAAATTAGCCAGGCATGGTGGCAGGCGTCTGTAATCCCTGTCTCACCCAGCTACTTGGGAGGCTGAGGCAGGAGCATTGCTTGAACCCAGGATGCAGAGGTTGCAGCGAGCCAAAATCATGCCACTGCACTCCAGCCTGGGCAACAAGAGCGAAATTCCATCTAAAAAAATAATAATAAAGTAAAGACTGTTGGATTTGGAGTCAGACAACCCTAAATTCCAGGTGGAACTTTGCAACCGTATGGCCTTGGGCAAGTTATTTAACACCTCTGAACCTCAGTTTTCTCGTCTGTAAAATGGAACTGATATTGGAGGGTTACAAAGATTAAACACTGCATAAACGTGCTTGGCACATAGCGACCCTTCCATGAACAGCAGCTCTTGGGCCAGCTTGACACCCCCACCCACCCCCCGCCTTCCAGCTGCCTGCCACATGCTGTTTTCTCCCTGTATCTGTGTCTACAGTGGGGTGGAGCGTTCTTGTCTGTGTCTGAGCTGCGGATACGCTTATACCCACCCTCTTTTCCCAGTCCCTAGACGACACTGAGCTCCGGCTGCTGGGACGGACGCACTCGGCCCGCGATGCTCTGCGAACGCTGGCAGAGGCCAGGTGGCTGTTTCCCGGGCGCGTTTCCGTGGACTTGATGCTGGGGCTGCCGGCCCAGCAGGTGGGACCGTGGCTTGGGCAGCTGCAGGAACTGCTGCACCACTGTGACGACCACCTCTCCCTCTACCAGCTGTCCCTGGAGCGGGGCACAGCCCTTTTCGCCCAGGTACAGCAGGGCGCGCTTCCAGCCCCTGACCCAGAGCTCGCGGCTGAGATGTACGAAAGGGGCCGGGCCGCCCTTCGGGAGGCTGGCTTCCGCCAGTATGAGGTCTCCAACTTTGCCCGGAATGTGAGTCCTGGGGCTGATGGCTGGAGGTGGAGAATGGGCAGACTGCGGTGTTACCGAGGCATTGTGACCTTCTGAAGAGAAGGATCCCGACTGGGCACTCTCAGACCTGAGATGGTGGGACATTCTAACATGGGGCCCCTTACCTGATCAGAAACGGGCCCACCCTCTTCACTCTGCACTATTTCCTCCTCCCCGCAGGGGGCGCTCAGTACACACAATTGGACTTACTGGCAGTGTGGTCAGTACCTTGGCATTGGGCCTGGTGAGTCCCGTCAACTACAGAAAGGATGACTCAGGAGAGGAATGTCGTGGCTGTGTGAACTTGGGCTACATTAACCTCTCCAGGCGTCTGTTTTCTCATATGTAAAATGTGGCAAAAAGTAATACCTCCCAGTAGAACTGTTGAGCATGAATTGTAAGGGACTTGATGTCACGCCTTGCACTGCGGTTCTCAGCCTTTGGTGGGCGTGAGAACCTCCTAGAGGGCTTGTTAAAACCCAGGCTGCTGGGCCCCACCTCCAGAATTTGCAATTGGACAGGGCTGGAGGAGAGCCTAAGAATTTACATGTCAATGTTTTGGGATAGATGATAAAAAGATAAAAAAGGGAGGGGGTGGTGTCACTTGCCTCTAATCCACGCTACTTGGGAAGCTGAGGTGGGAAGAGCACTTAAGCCCAGGGGTTCAAGACCAGCCTGGGCAGCATAGTGAGAGCCCATCTCAAAGAAAAAACAAAAGGAAAAGAATTTACATTTCTAGCATGTTAGAGGCAGTTGCTCCAGGGACTACATAATTTAAATCTAGTGAGCACATAGTATTAGCAGCTGTTAATGTGGGGATGGGTGTTGATGTTGTCAGGGGCCCATGGGCGATTTATGCCCCAGGGGGCCGGAGGCCACACCCGGGAGGCTCGGATCCAGACACTGGAGCCTGACAACTGGATGAAGGAGGTGATGCGGTTTGGCCATGGCACCCGGAAGCGTGTGCCCCTGGGCAGGCTGGAGCTGTGAGCATCCAAGGGCACAGGTCTCCCCCAGGGGCCCCACTCCCCAGAACCACCTCCACTGTACTTGTATTTTCTGCCTTGCCCTGGCCCCTGCCCTGCACATACTGCGTGGTCCTTGTTAGCCTCCTCTAAATGCATCCCAGGGTAGAATGTGAAGAACGGGAGGAGCACAGGCCTCCTCTCCAAGACTCCTTGATGATTTTTCTTTGAGGCTGGAGGAAGTTTTGGCCCTGGGGCTACGCACTGATGTGGGGATCACTCACCAGGTAAGGAGTTGGGATTCTTGCACACCACTCCCTCCTAGTCTTGCAGAATCAATTCCCCCTCTCTACCACCCCCCCTACACACACACACACACACACACACACACCCCTCTAGTTCCTGTGGGATTGGCAACTAGAAGTGGGTCCTGGGTCTAGCTGAGGCCCGATGGGCAGAAGCAGTGGGCAGTGTGGTGCATAGCTAAGAACCCTAGACCAGGGCTGCAGAGACCCGAGTTCCAGGCCTCATTCTACTGCAGCCTTGGACACAAATCCTTCCACCGCTCTGAACCTCAATTTTCTGAGCTGTGTGAAGCAATAGATAGATAAAGGGTTTCCAAATGTTTTTAAGGAGCACTGAGACCTCTCATAGGAAGCACAGTAGATAACGATCAAGCAAACCCAGAGCTGCTCTGGATAAAGTCAGAGTCATAAAGCCCTGGCTGGGGGTGGCTGAGAGGGGAAGGAAGAGAGGGGGAATAGAGGAAGGCCTGGCTTGGCTGGAGGCTGGATTCCAGCCTCAGTGGAATAGGCGTGAAGGTGCTCACCTCCCTGCTGGCCCATTGGCCTGGTTCTGGTTTCATGCTTGTCAGCTGCTGAAATCTCCATACTGGACTGGCCCCTCCCCCCATCTCTCACCACCACCCAGCCATGTGGCCTGGAATAGCCAGGCCAGCTTCTCACCTCTGACCTTCTGGCTTCCCCAGCACTGGGAGCAGTTTGAGCCCCAGCTGACCCTATGGGACGTGTTTGGAGCGAACAAGGAGGTACAGGAGCTGCTGGAGCGGGGCCTACTGCAGCTGGATCACAGGTGTCTTGGGGGTGCCGGGCAGGAGGGGCTGAGGTATCCTAGGGAGCCCTGACTACAGCTTCACAGACCCAGGAGAATTAAGAAAGACTGACGGTTAAGGAGGGGCCTGTGGGCGCTGGGGACTTGGCCCTGGTGGGGGATGAACTTGCAATTGGTAAGATGAAGTAGTCACCTTTGGGCCTCTTGGTTTTCCAGGGGTCTTCGGTGTTCCTGGGAGGGTCTGGCTGTGCTGGACTCTCTCTTGCTGACCCTCCTGCCTCAGCTACAAGAGGCCTGGCAGCAGAGAACCCCCTCCCCTGTGCCAGGAGGATGACCAGATGTTCCTGTGTTCCAGGGTGACGCCAGGTGGGCTTTGAGGACTGGGTTGGCCCTGCAGACATCTCTTCTCCATTGTTGGGGGCTGTCTCGGCTCCATGTGGCCATTGCCCAGCCCTGGCATCCCCAGGGGAATGGCAGCAGTGAGGTAGATGGGAGGACATTTCTGGTCTGGGAGCTTGCATCCCATTCAGCATCTCCGGACTCGCAGGCTGGCATGTGTTCCATGGCTGGGAGTTGCTTTCCACCCATGTCAGCTTCTGTTTACCTTTGGCATCAACGAATGAAGTGTTTGGAAATCTTTCTACAGGCAGTTACCTCCCGAGGAGAAGCCTTCCTTACTTTGAAGTAAGGTCCTAAGACAGCTGGATGAATCAGGAAAACCATGTCCCCTCTAGGTAGTATTAATATAAGCAGGAAGGATCTACTGTAGGAATGAAGCATTTATAAAACCATTGAAAGGGACAGAGAAATGAACATTGGAGAAAGCCAGCAGCAACTGTCAGAAATCAGCAACGTGCAGGAGGCACAGAAAACTCCTGCTGATGGTCTCAGCTTCCAGCGGCACAAAAGCAGATGATGTACAGGAAAATGCTCAGAAGATGCTACAGAACCTCATGCCTACTGCCTGCCATGGCTGGAAAAGGAATCGTCATTTCTAGAAGTATCTCTCATTAGTGGACTTTAAAGCAAATCCTGGCTGGCAGGAAATGCTGAGGAATATAGTTCTTAGGCTTCGAACCTCGCCCATAAGGGAGAGAACATAGAAGGACTGATGCATGCTGGTGGATCCATGTGTGTCCAGCACAGAGGCCTGCTGGACTCTGAGGACTGGGAAAGATCAGAGCAAGCCTTGCCTCTTATCTTTGGGCAACCGGAATCTGTTTGGGGTGACAGGAGCCACACAGACTCTCCTGAGTCCCCTCACCCACTCCCTTCCCCCTGTGTCTTTCCCTCGAGAGTGAAGGCGGATGGAGTTGACCAGAGAAAGGGGAGAGAATTCAGGAAAGACCCAAAGTGTTTGTAATTCTTCTTTGTCCTTTTACCTACAGAAATGGTTACACGGTTCTACTTAAATAGCCTAATAAACACATCTGGAGCCTGCCTTGACTGTGGTCCTCTCCTTTGTCTGAGCTTAGAGCGCAGAATCCTGATTTCAGGACTAGAAGCTTAGTCTAGGGTCCTTCCTCCACTCCCTACATTTTGTTTTGAAAGATTTCAGACCTACAGAAAAGATGAAAGGATAGTTCAGGAGACCTTATATTCCTTGTGCGCTATGTATCCGGAAAGTCTGGAAATAGGCAAATTTTCATAATGCCATCAGGGACATCTTCAATCTACTGAAAAAGATGATAGGCCAGACAGGGTGTCTCATGCCTGTAATCCCAGCACTTTAGGAGGCTGAGATGGGAGAATCACTTGAGCCGAAGAGTTTGAGACCAGCCTGGGCAACATAGCAAAACTCTGTCTTTAAAAAAAATTAAAAAATAAAATGTTTCCAGACTCTGTGGTCACCCTATAGATTCATCAATTGTTAATTTTTGGCCACATTTACATCAACTTTAGATAGATATTGTGTATAATTTTTTTTGACTGAATAATTTAAAAGTTGTAGACATCAGACTGGGCACGGTGGCTCATGCCTGTAATCCCAGCACTTAGGGAAACTGAGGTGGGCAGATCACTTGAGGTCAGGAGTTCAAGACCTGCCTGACCAATATGGTGAAACTCCATCTCTACCAAAAAAATACAGAAGTCAGACGGGTGTGATGGCATGCACCTGTACTCCCAGCAGCCTGGGAGGCTAGCAGGAGAATCACTTGAACCTGGGAGGCAGAGGTTGACAGCGAGCCGAGATCATGCCACTGCACTCCAGTCTGGGTGACAGAGCAAGACTCCGTCTCAAAATAAATAAATAAATTCATTAACCACATACAATCATTATAGATAATTTTAGTCTTTCTTAGAAAAGAGCTTTCCATTTTTTGAAGGGCTGATACTTTTTGGGAGGTGGGCGCAGGGCCTTGCTGTGTCTCCGAAGCTGGAATGCCGTGGCATGACCACAGCTCACTGTAGTTGTGACCACTCAGGTTCAACTGATCCTTCCACCTCAGCCTCCCAAGTAGCTGAGACTACAGGTGTGCACCACCATGCCTGGATAATTTTTTAATTTTTTGTAGAGATAAGGTCTCCCTATATTTCCCAGGCTGGTCTTGAACTCCTGGGCTCAGTGCTGGGATACAGATGTGAGCCACTGTGCCTGGTGAAGGGCTGATACTCTTAACCTGGACTTGGTGTGTTGTATGTGTGAGACAGAGGGAGTGGGAGGGGCATTTTCCTGGGAAGAGGCTCCATAGGTTTCATACCTTATGTCACAGGGTACCATGGTGCCAGAAGTAATCTAGTATCACTGTCAAATGAGGCATGCTAAGCTCAGCCTCTAGCTGGGTGACTAGAGGCTGGGGCTTCCCCACCTCTCAGGTAGGCACGTGCATTTCCCATGTGCCCAGTGGGTGTGAATATCAGTCCTTCTTTGACCCTGTGGTAACATGGTAAGTGTTACTACCTCTCCTTTATTCATGAAATATTAAGCAAGCACGAATGGTGTGCCAGGGGCTGCACCGGGCATGCAGGGAGGAAAAAGACCTGTCCTGGCCCTCAAGGAACTCGCTGCCAGGTTGATAGATGTGTAAAGAGATTAATTCCAGACTTGTCAGTCAAGGTGTGTAGGCAGGTCATGGGAGCCAGGGGCACATTTGGTTCGGAAGGGCTAGGAGCAGGACAGGGGATACCATTTTCTTACCACCTCCATTGCCCCTGCTGCCCTGGAAATCCTGGCCCTGGGGCAGCCTGTGGGGTGACCCGTACTGCTTAGAGAGCTGCTTCCTGAGACTTCCCCTGATCTTGACATTCAAGAAGTGAGCATGGGGCTGAGGCAGGTGCACCATCAGATAACCTGGGACCACTCAGGTTTCTCCCCACTGCCAGGGCTTGTGCCACCTGAGACGTCTGGGCCTCCCTGCTGGGACACCTCATGAGACCCGTGCAGAGGAGCTGGGTGGGAGCCAGGGCCAAGTGGGGGTGGCACAGATCACCTTCTGTGACTCAGTCTGGTCTTACCCTCACCAGATGAATCAGAAGCTCCTGGAGGTGGAGCCTGGGAATCTAGTTTTTCAATGCTCATACATGGCTCTAATGATCATTCCCTTTTGGGAACCCCTGATTACAATCATTTCTTGCCTTCCATCCCAGGATACTGGGGCAGGAGGAGAGGGAGACATGGCTATTTCCAGTGTCCCATGACAAAGTGGGAAGAGGGTCCTTCATTTCACTTCCCAGCCCTTCCATGGTTCATCCGTCAGGGGGCTTCTCCTCCCCCATTGTGGGACCTGGGTTGTCATCTTTTCACCTGCCCTACATGGACACAAGTAAAGGGGGTGAACAACCCCCCTTGGTGATGAAGTTGGGGACATATGGTACGTGTGGGTATGTGGTTACAGCTTGAAGCACCAAACCTGCGTGCAGGTAGAGCACTGATCATTTGAAAGCCCATGAGCCACCTCTCCCCATTGCTGAGTAGTGTGAAGTAGACAGGACAGCTGTTTTTGTTTCCATTTTACAGATAGGCACACTCATAGATGTTCCCTAACTTGACTCAAGTCCTATAGGCAGTAAGTAGAAGACCTGGCATAACAATTCTGGGCATCCAGAAGTTTCTGTCCCATCACTGTTTTATCCTTGTTGTAGGTCAAGGTCAAGTGGCTTGCCTCTTAAATTAGGCAAAGTCCAGAACTCTCAAATTTGGGGGCGGGGAGGGTGAGAGTCTCACTGTGTCCCCCAGGCTAGAGTGCAATGTTATGATCACAACTCACTGCAGCCTCAAATTCCTAGGCTCAAGTGATCCTCCCACATCAGCTCTCCAGCCCCTTGTAGCTGGCATCATGCCTGTGAGACCACTCACCTCTCCTCTCACCCACTTCTGCGAAGAAAAGAACTTTAAATAATAGAATGAAATAACTTGTGTGGTAGGTTGTATTATGTCCAAAGTGTTTGCTATCCCTCCTTGGCACACGCCTCACCTGAGGGCCTCGGGAGGATTATATGCCCTGACCTTGTTGAGTCTGGAAGGGCCATGAAACTTGCCTGGCACTGGTTGTAAGAGCCGGTGGGTGGTCCATCAGTTGTCTGTTGCAGCGACCTGCAATGTCCACACGGAGACTGTTTCGTCAGCCCAGATCCCAGGGTGAAGAAGCTGGTCAGAGCAGCCAGCCACAAGAGACATGAACAGCAGAAAGAAACGAACCTCTGCCATTGTAGACCAGGAGGCTTTCCAGTTGTTGCTGCACCATAATTGAGACTAAACTGCCTGATTCAGTTTGTAATCCCACCATTCAAAGATTAGCCATTGTTAAGATTCTGGCATATATCTTAGCAGAAATTCTGATATACAAATGAATGTATTTAGATACACAATCTTACAAAAATGGGATAATATACATGTTGCTTTGGAGCTTTCTTGTCTTATCTAACATGCAGTGAGTGTCTTTCCATGGTAAATTTATATCTATATCCAGTTTTTCAGTGTTGGGGTCGCAGCATGTCTCCACTGTTACTAATGCATGGTTATGCCAAAAAATGTAGTTTTCCCAGTTTCTTTTCTTTTCTTTTCTTTCTTTCTTTTTTTTAAGACATCCCCGTCACCCAGGCTAGAGTGGAGTGCAGTGCACAGTCACAGCCCACTGCAGCCTCAACCTCCTGGGCTCAAGCAATCTTCCCACCTTAGCCTCATGAGTAGCTGGAACCATTCTGCCAGCTAATTTTTAAAGTTTTGTAGAGACAGGTTTCTGCCATGTGACCCAGGTTGCTTTTGAACTCCTGAGCTCAAGCAATCCTCCCGCCTTGGCCTCCCAAAGTGCTGGGGTCACTGGGGTTACAGGTCTGAGCCACCACACTCAGCCTCCTGTTCTTTTTCCTTTCTTTTTTTAAGACAGAGTAGTGCTCTGTCACCTAGACTGGAGTGCAATGGTGCGATCTTGGCTCACTGCAGCCTCTGCCCCCCAGGTTCAAACAATTCAACATCAACCTCCCAGGCTCAAGTGATCCTCCCACCTCAGTTCTCCAGCCCTTTGTAGCTGATACTACAGATGCACACCACCACGCCCAGATGATTTTTAATTTTTTTTCCCTTTGAGACAGAGTCTCACTTTGTCACCCAGGCTGTAGTGCAGTGGCACAATCTTGGCTCACTGCAACCTCTGCCTCCCAGGTTCAAGTGATTCTCCTGCCTCAGCCTCCTCAGTAGCTGGGACTACAGGCATGCACCACCACTCCCAGCTACTTTTTGTATTTTTAATAGAGATAGGGTTTCACCACGTTGGTCAGGCTGGTACTGACCTCGTGGTCCACCTGCCTCAGGCTCCCTAAGTGCTGGCATTACAGGCATGAGCCACTGTACCTGGCTAATTTTTAAATTTCTTACAGAGATGCAGTCTCACTATGTTGCCCAGGCTGGTCTTGAACTCCTGGCTTCAAGTGATCCACCCACCTCAGTCTCCCAAAATGTTGGGATCACAGGCATGAGCCACTGTGCCCAGCTTAATTTTTGATAAATATAAACTCTTTAAGTTATTGCTAATATATATATACTCTGCGATAAACATGTTATGTAAATATTTTTATACACTGGTTTGATCATTTTCTTAGGTTTAGGATAAATCCCAAGAAGTGGATTTTCTGACTCTAAGGATTTGCACATCCTTTGTTTGGATGAAAAATGCCAAACTACCCTCCAGGAAGCCTGCCCAATTCACACTCTTGCCAGCCTGCTAGTGCTCTTTTCTCTACAGCTTCATCAATAGCAAGCATGATCAATTTTTCTAGATAATTCCAACTTGAAAAGAATTTTTTTTTTTTTGAGATGGACTCTCATTCTGTCCCCCTGGCTGGAATGCAGTGGCTCGATCTCTGTTCACTGCAACCTCTGCCTCCTGGATTCAAGTGATTCTCTTGCCTCAGCCTCCTGAGTAGCTGGGACTACAGGTGCACACCACCATGCCTGGCTAATTTTTTTTTTTTTTAGTAGTAGAGATTGGGTTTCAACATGT